AACCCTGAGAATGTTAAATTTATTAACTCATTTACAATCTATTATGAAATTACATTGCTGTAAATGTATGAAACCTGGCACAATCATTAGAAGGTTTCTATTCCTCCTCCTTTATTTAGAAGAAATGCTAAATTAATTAAAGATGGCTCAATATAGAGCCATAAACATGATTACTAGAATTTTCGCTTCGTGTCTTCATCTGTTAGAAATTATCATCTTTGATATAATTACAATATAATTTGGCACATAAGCACTTTAATTCCGAAATTTTGACGTCACATACCTACTGAATCCTTTTTATAAATGAGGCCTCTTGTTGATGACGTCATATCATAATTACTGGCTTATTTTAGTATTATTTTCTGCATGCCTTAATTACATAATAATCGAAAGTTTATATATTTGATAAAGACCGAAAATGATAAACAATGGACACAATCAATGCGTATATTGTCTCCGCAATATTCGAATTTTGAAATGACCAATCGGCACAAGAATAAATTTCAAAATTACGAAATAACCAATAACGTTCAACTTTAAATGTTAAAGTATCCAATAAGCATTTCGAAAAATTTTCCCTTCGTATTTTTATACTTTAAAAATTCATCCAATCAGAAACGAGTATCAAAATTCAAAAACTGAAACTAATTACATATTTTTTCTTATAATTTAACGAAGAGGATTATTTTTCAATATTTTTTTTTTTTTGATTAAGAGGAAGATTACGAGTCTGCGATTTAGATTTCAACAATAAAAATCAGTAAAAGTCACTAAAATAAATTAATTTTCCAAAAGTATGTCAGTCGTCGAAGATAAAAATCGAAGCCTCGCCCACCCACAAACATATAATTATGTTAACCCGATTTATTTTCATGCATTAACTGAACAAAATCGAACAATTAACCCGATTACACGCGTGGTAAATAACTTACAAGCAAACGCACGTATATCATCCGCCATCTTGTTTGTACAGGTAACCATGGAGACATTTTTTGAAACTACGCAACAGCCATCTGTTAATTAAAAACTGAACTAAGACACCGGTAATTGATCATTATCGATATAAATGATTACCTTTCCCGATTTCTGATTGGACGTTGCATTCATTTAAATTAATAAATTAAAAATTCAGCACCGTTTCCTGTTGAATTCAATGAAAAATTTTAATAAATTCGGGTGTAGAATTTTAAACTCTAACTCACCTTTGACTTTTCAAATGATGGACGTATAAAAATATTTTTTTTCTAGTGTTTTGAACACTAGAAACAAATAAATAAGCTTCTATACAGGTATAACAAGTAAATTACAGTATCACATTAGTAGTATGCGGCTTACAAATAACAAATTGGTACACCTCTAAGGCACAATGAGTTAAAAGACCTTGAGTTAATACTTTGCTTCCACAGTTATAAATAGAAACAGGAGTAAAATTAGTCTCTCCCCTTCTGTTTACATGGTATAGCTCCAATCTCCTCCTCCATATCCAACCTGTGCATCATTTTAAACTGCGTTTAACTAAATTACAGTAATTAAACAGACAGAAATAAGTAGGTATGTATGTACAGTATACTAATTAATCTGCATAACAATTAACAAAAAAAATTATTTGGGGCCATTCATATGGGCTAAAGAATTTTTGTACTTATTTAAATATAAATAAAAGCTTTTCTTTTACATGGTGATGAGTAATTTTAGTATTTTATCAGTTATAGTATTACTGTTTAATAATTTTTATGGTAGTAGTGAGATAACATTCAGCACTTATGCTAATTATGAAAATCCCTATCTGGAAACTGTAATTAAAATTTTCTAAAAATATCTTGCTTAATGGAAGACATGAAGTATATACTCACAATTTGTCTTGTTACATAGAACCGATACATTTTTACTCGATTAATCAAGCAAGAAAAATAATAATTTTAACAAATTTTAAAACTACACTTAATTTCTTACCTTGTGTTTGTTTCATGGATGATCTCATCTGTTTTTATAAGGGGAGGACATTTTATTGCATTTCAACTGAACTCATTCAGCCATTTTCTTTCAAGGATACATTTATCATTAGCCATTAAAACTACAATCATTCCAAGATGATAAGGAATTTGTGAGCCTGTATTGTCTAGTACCACTTGTAACTAGTGCCTCTTGCCATTTTTAATTCCAAATTATGAGAAAAGAGTATTAAACAACAGGTGGGGCATACCTCTTCCTGTCATAAACTGTTCTACATTCCATGCATTAAGAACCTCTAAATGTAAGACTGTTTCATTACAGTTAATTTTAAATAGAGTCAGAAAAATGTTGCATTATATGAGATGTAAATTATAATAAAAAGATTATTTTACACACAATACATCTGAAAATATTTATTGAGATCATAAATTAATATTTTCATTAACAAATCTATCATAAGAAATATAATTTTACATTTTGTATACAGTTAATGGACGTTGAGTCACTTGCATATTATACACACAATTGCTTATGGATATTTAAAAAATAAATGCCACTTTGAGAGAAGATACAGTTGAAAGTTAACATTAATCGACATGAAAACAAATTAGCATTTGGTATTTTATTGCATAGTTAATCTTTTAACTCTAAATTAATAATTAAAAAAATTTATATACAAGTTATTTAACTAATGGAATGAAATTAGGTATTGATTTGACATAATAACAATGAAAGATATTGATTATTGTTTATGCTTTTGTAATCTACAAAACAAAATCACAACTGTGCAAGAAACCATGCAAAATATTTTAAGTGAATAAATAAGAAATTAAACTTTTATAAGGTAATAAATCATGTGTTACTTTTCTACGCAATTTATTGTTATAATTCCTATAAATTGTGCTTATATCTATAGAAATAGTTTTTGGTACAACAATTTATCATTTTTTAAAAGTAAAAAGATTACGTATTTTAGAAAGCCAAAATATATTTATTTTATTAGAAATGTTTTTGGCCATTATACTGGCCACCTTTGGCTTACAAATGGAGTGAATATTGTTCAGTTCATTTGTGCAGAACTGTCAAATCGATGAATGTTATTTAATCTTACATCATCTGATTTGTCTATGCTGAAGATTACAAGTGGAAGATTTATTTAATACTGTATGTTCTTATCATATCAATGATTACAAATAAGTTAAGATTAGGTAATAATTTAGAAATAATAAGTACAATATCTTAGTTACATATGGCAGGAATGCTTTTGAAAATGGAGTGGTTCTTGATACATTACAGCAGTGTTTTTCAACCTGTGGGTCGCGACCCCCACGGGGTTCGCAAAGCCTTACACGGGGTCACGGGTGAAAGAAAAAGACAAGTGTTCATAGGTCCTATACTACAATAAAAAAATCTAGAATTTCAGTGAGAAGGCTGTGCCTGTTGGTTTTTCAATCGATATTTAAAGAAGAAAATTAAATATGTAGTTCTCAAAATCACTGATATAGTTTTAATATGGCCCTGGGGGTCTCCGGAATTTTTTAACTTGTAAAGGGGTCACGTATTCAAAAAGGTTGAAAAACACTGCATTACAGAATATACAATTGCGGACAGAATTAGATAACAGGCAGTCAGGTGTCAAATAGATCACTTTTCTTATGCAGGATTCAATTACCTTCTTTACCTGTCATGTAGCAGCTAAAGCATGTTACATTTCATCATTGCAGATTCTGTCTTAGTGGAAGCTACTTTGTAAGATGACAATTTAGTTACATATGTTGGCATAATAGTGTTTAAGAGTATTGTAAACTTAAATATATTTTTTAACTATAATAAACCTTACATTATTATTTAAATCATACATGAACATCAAACTGCTTTGTAACAAAGAAAAATATAAAAATAATGTGTTTTTAATTCAATTTAATAAAACACTCAAATACTTAATTCAAAAATATTTCAATTCTGTAAAAATGATGTATTTTGCAGATAGTAAGTTTCAAAAATGAAATTTATTTGCAAATTACTTATAATACTTGACTAGAAATATATTAATTTATTGCAGTTTTTAAAGAATAGTTTGAAGACAAACTAACATTTTATATTGTACAGTAACAAGAACTTATTAACCAACTTTTGGTATCAATAAAATATAACAAAATTTGGTTATATATATTTTTTCTAATTATATATNAAAGGAGATTTTTCGCAGAAAACACATTTTCAAATAAGGGGATGACATCATTATTGTAGACGTAAAAAGTATTTCCTTCTAGTTACCATAGCAACTAAAAATCAGGAAAAGGTTCTATTTAAACGCATCTTCTGTGAATTGTGACGCGATACGTTCTATTATTCTCCAATAAGGAAACTTAATTTATTATTTTAATAACAAGGATGAGGAATTTTAACACGAAAACACAAATTAGCTGAAGGATGATAATGGGGAAAAATCATTTTTAAACACCTTAAAACATACGCAAATTAAATTTAAAAAGAAATGTATCAAAATTTAAATCTTACTTAACAATAAATTAGAATTAAAATCCTTAATTACAATTAAGAATATTTAATTGTTATTTACATTAAAATTTTTTTATCTATTTCATTGATTAAATTCTGTACGTTTCAAATTTAATTCTGATTAAATTTGAAACTTACATTTATTTTTTATATTTGTAAGTTTCAAACTTTAATTACAATTAACTAAATGGTATTTTAATGAATAAAAATACGAGAAAAAATAATAATAATGTGGGTTTAAGTAAACAAAATTAAGAAATGACGCAACTATAATGACATTTTCAATCATTTCATGGCGATTGTGTATTACAGTTTTTATCGTCGTCATTTTTAAAATTTATTTTCTAATTTTTTTAATTTAAAAAGAAAAGGAAATTAGAATATTTAACTTGTTTTACCGTCAATAATAAATTAAATAACGCGATAAAAATTTAAAGAAAAACAGAGGAATTAATATAGAAAACCCGGTAGAAAATCTTACGAAAACCATTCGGACCACCCTTATAAAATACTGTAAAGAAATTCACCTTGTAACTTCTGGCATCTTTCAGGTAGGAGATACCTCTCTTCTGGGTAGTTTCACCTGAACAATTTTCGCAGCCGTTCAACTTCATGCCTTGATTGTTTCCTCCCATAACTATTAAGCCACCCGGTTTCCAGTGAACCCTGCAGGAAAGTCTCCTGCAGTACTTAGCGAAATGAGCCAGTTTGAAGGAAGTAAAAGGTTATTAAAGCAGGAATTATACCCGACACTCCTTGCGAAAACAGCTGATCACTTCGATACTTTCCACCTAATTTTTTAAAAAAAATAAAAACGAAATAAATACATACATAAAATTTAAATTTATACAGCACTAAACTTCTATAATTTTACATTTAAGTGGCTAATTATAATTAAGAATATTTAATTGCGGTTAGCAAGGAATAATTTGTTCATTTCATTTGCTAATTCTAATAAGTTTCAATTGTTATTACTATACTTGTACTGTACATTTCAATTGTTAATTGTAATGATGTACAGTACTGTACATTTCAAATGTTAATCGTAATTAACTAATCCACTTAAATATCATAAAAACGGTTATTTTATGTTTAAAAAATATGGATTTAAATGCCAATTAAGTGATGAAATGGATTAAAATATAACAGTTAATGTTTTAAAGAATCTTAAAAGATTCTGTTTTAAAGAATTTTAAAAAATCTTAAAAAATTCTTTAAAAAACCGAATTAAACTTAACATATTAATTAAATTAGCGCATATTTTTAAATATTAAATGAAATTGTAAAGCAATTAAATGTCACCTTTCCGTCACATGATGATCTTTTTTGGGATTATTTGTACTCTAGCTGCATGCTGCAGATTAATCGATTTTTTCCAAAAATCGATACTCTGTTCACATGCGCCATCCTATATAACTGTTACGATCCACATATTCAGATTTTTTAAATATTAAATTAATATATTAATATATTTTAAAATACTTAAATATTTATTTAAGTCTCTCATATATTAAAATTTTTTACACAAGACTCACATAAGAAAAATATTTCTTAATGTTGTTTCGTGTTAATTACCTTTAATTAACATAATTAATTAATAATTTATGCAAGAGAATTAAATTATTTTTACACGTAAAGTATTTATTTGATTCTATTTTTAAATGGGGTCAATGGTCGAAAAATTTATTGATGAAGTTAAAAGAAAGAAAAAAAAGAAACAAAATCCTATATTTTGAAAAATTATTGTGTGTTATTTTTGTTAATTTAAAGTAAAAAAAAAATTA